GGAGGGGGCTCGGGGACGGAGCTGGGCAGAGGCCGTGCTCGCGAGGGTCCCCAGGGCCAGCGCAGCCGCGGGAAGGTGGGCAGTGTGGGATCCGTGGGCCCCCGTCGTCGGGAAGGTGACCGCAGAGAGGGGCTGAGGCAGGGAGGAATGAGGGAGGAGTTCACCAGATGGCAGAAGCAGTGGGGCTGTGAGGAAGGGGAGGACCAGCGAGGAGAAGGGAGTCCAGGGGGGACCCCTCTGGGCGGGGTTGCAAGGTGGAGGGCTTGCAGCCCATGTCCCCTCCCCTGTACTTCCCCTCCTGAAGCTGCCAGCCAGAGTGCTCTGGCAGGTCAGGAGCAGAGGCCAGGTGTGTAGGGCTGGTGAGGGGCCCGCAGCTTCCTGGACCGACCCGCCCTGTGTCCCCTCTGTCCCCTCTGTGCAGGCTGCAGCCCGGGAAGCCCACGCCCTCCTGAACTCAGGGCAGCCGGGGCGAGCGCTGGGCTACTGCTCGCTGGCTGTCCTCGCGGGGGGCAGCGATGCCCGTCACCTGCGCCTGAGGGCCACCTGTCTGGCTGAGCTGCAGGAGTTTGAGCGGGCACTTGAGGACCTGGACCGTGTGCTCCGGGAGGATGGGAGCGACGGTGGCCTCCCGACGCAGGTGGAGGATTTGTGCTCCCGGGGACGCCTGCTGCTGAGCCTGGGAGATGAGGCCAGGGCCACGGGCGCCTTCACCCGGGCCCTCGAGCTGGCGCCCGCGCTGGCCCAGAGCAGCCTGTGGGAGCGGCCAGGCCGGGACCCCACTGCCCAAGTGTTCCTGCATCAGGGCCAGACCTTGATGGAGGAGCAGCGCTATGCAGAGGCCTGGACGGCCGCGGAGAATGGCCTCCTGGTAGACCCCGAGCACAGTGGCCTGAGGAGGCTGAAGGCGAGGGTCCGGAGGGAGGCCTCCTTGGGCTGCCGGCTCCACTGACCCCGTGCTCTCCGGGCCCGGGGCACGGGTCGCCCTGTCGCCCCCCGCCTGGGGCTCCTGAGCAGCAGGATACCGTGGGCCTCACCCATGTAGATCGGACTCAGCTGGGAAGTGAGAGTCTACAGGATCACCACGTTTCAGGTTAGCGAGAAGACGTTCGCGATAGCGCATGGATAGCATTACGTCATCGCAAGATGACAAAGCTGGAATGGGCAGGCCCCAAGGAGATTACTAAGCAATGGAAAGAAAACAAAGTACGTGTTCCATTCCAGGAGTCAGGAAAAGACAGTAAAACAAGGGAAGTCAGGAGCTAGGAATCAAGGACAAAAGCAGAAGTTAATGAATTAGGAACAGAAGGATAGAAGAATCAGTAAACCTAAAACACGGTTTCTCAAAAATAAAGCAGGTGAACCAACAGCTAACTTAGCGGAGAAAGCCCAGGGTCCCTCCGCTGGGCCGTCCTGCTGCTGTCAACTCCGAAGGTCTTTAAACTCGTTCATGCCAAGAAAAAGAAGAAAAGCTTTCAAGTTCATCGTTGAAGAAAGCATAATCTCAACCCAAAGAACGCTACAAACCAATTGAATTACCCGTTCCAGAATCCTAAATGTCATGCTCGGCTCAGCAGCACACGAACTGAAATTGGAACGAGACAGATTAGCGTGGCCCCTGCATGCACTTGTCTTGCAAAAATCCTAAATATCAACAAGCCCAAGCCCAGCGGCGCATTCACACTACACCTCGAGCAACGTACACGGCAATACGAGGACGGTTCAGGGTGGGGGATGCTACGGTCTATCGTAGTAACCGAGCTACGAGGAGACAAGTCCCGTGGCCCTTCTTGGGGGCTGCAGGGGGCAGGGTGTATGGTCACACTGGACAGATCCTACGCCTTTAGATTCCTTCTGTTGTACTCGGGAAGTTTTGGCATCTCGTCTTCCTTCACTAGAGACCACGAGTGAGGGTTGCACTCAGCCACGGGGACTGGCAAAACCACCGGGCGCACTGTCTCCAGCGTCTGGGGGGGGCGTGCCCACGGCCTTAGTGCCGACCCAGCCCAGAGCTGTGTTCCCTCCGCCGTGGCCTAACACCCTCAGACTCCGTTCCCACGCACGATTCCCAGGGTCCCCTGTGTGAATTAGCGCAATCTTGCGATTATCGGGGCGCATATGCTATTTTCTCCAGGATCAGACATTGTACCCGCCCCCTCCCCCAGGATGCTGAGATCAGACCCCATTTATGGGTCTAGAGTCCCTGGGTGAGGGAGGGGGTCATGGAGGTTGAAGAGAATGAGCATCCTTCTTTCTGGGCCCCTGACCCCCATGAGGCTCTCAGGGTTGATGATGAAAACAAGGCTCGTCTCCTCCCACACGAAGATGGGCTGCACCCCTGGAAAGGGACTCAGGGACTTGGGGTTCAAAGTTCTCAGCTTCATCTGAGCCCCCTTCCTACTTCCAGGGTCGCATCCCTTCGCAATCAGCGCCCCGATTTCTCACAAGAAAGTTGACGTGTCTGTAAATGCGACCAACTTTGTAATTACACGGCTCACGGGATTACCTGTCACGTTTGACATTTAGCAGCATGGCCCGTGCTCGTAACCGGGTCCTCTCAGGGCCGCCATGGAGCCCCCTGACTCCCGGGCTATGACCTGAGCTGGTCATTTTCTTCCTGTGTGTGCTCCAGGACGCTCAGGAGAGCCCACCCCCTGCCACAGTCCCTGCGGCCACCATCACTGCAGGAACAGCCACGCGCCACAGCGCCTGGGCTCCCACGCCCCCTGATTCAGTGGGTGCGTCACAACCACCACAGTGACCGCTCCATCACCATCAGTCGTGAAGCCCCCGCACACCACAAGTCTCCCTTCCCGACGAGCCTGGCCGCGCAGACAGGCCCAAGGACACGACCGAGCCAGGCCCCAGATCCGTCTTTGTGGGTCTGGTGGCAGGGACCACTCTTGGTACCAATTTACGTATCGGTCAGGGTCACTCGAGGTGGAAACCACACCAGTGATCGCAATGGTGAGGGTTTAATATAAAGAATCGCTAATCAGCTAAGAAGGTGGCAGTTATGTAATGGGCAGAACCCTAGGGACCGTGGAAGCAGCAACCACACAGTTCAAGACGGATGAGCAGCCTCTCCGAACAGGCTGCCGTCCGTCACCTACAACCCTCCGCTGGGTGACCGAGCTCCCCTGAGCGTGCCCCGTGCCCCGTGTGCTATTTGCCGGCCACACCTCTGCGCCTGGCACGGACCATCCGTTCTCTCAGACTCTTTGACGGCTCTTCTAGGTGCGGGGACTGGCTTGGTGGCTCAGTGACAGAGACCAGGGGCGGTCAGACGTCGGCCCCTTCCCTCCTGTGCGGGGGACCCAAGGCCTGTTGTCAGGAAGCAGCTGTCCGGGAAGGTGTGGGGGTGCTCCCACAGGCCAGGCTCTCACCACAGCTTTGTGAGTGCTCCGGGAATGTCCTCAACTTCTTCCAGCCCGATTGTCTTCTCTGAGCAGGGCGCCTCGCGCCTGTCCACAGCACGGGTGGACAGACCCGCGGGGAGATCCGATCCATGCCCTGCAGAGGCCCAGAGACACCTGCCAGGTGGGGCCGGGCTTCGTAAAGAGGACAGGAGCTGCCCCAGACGATCCTGCCCGAGAGCAGGGGTGGCGACAGTCAAGGGCAGGTCTTAGACCTGCCCTCGTCCCAGGGCTGATGAGGGAGGTGGTGCCCACCCCTCCCCCCATGGGAGGTTCCTCCAACCCCCCATCTCCCATCTTTTGCCCAAGATACAGGCAGGGGTGAGCAGGGAGCCCCCACTGACCCCCGAGCTCACTTAGGAAAAAGGCTTAAGTCCACCCTCCAGACTGTCCTGGGCACGATAAGATGGGGGCTGGGACTCTGCACCCAGGACCTGGCCAGGCTGGGGGTCTGTAGCTCCCTGCCCTGTGGAGCCGTGGCTTCCCTTGGCCGCCAGGTACCCGAGCACCGCCTTGCCGGCCCCACCAGATGGTGTCGGCCTCAGCACCACGCCCCGCTGGCCCCTGGCTCACAGCTTCTGGACGGCTGCAGACAGAACCCACGAACCGGCAGCTTGGGTGGGAACGGCGGGCTGGGCTCCGGCCAGCAGCCAGCATCTGCATCCCGGCGGCCTTGGTGGCGGGGTAAGAGGTGGTACCCTGGCTGGACCGTGTCACCTGTGGGGTCCCCAGAGCCGTCATGCTCTGGGAAGGAGCTTCGAGCTGGCCGAGCTGGCCCCCGGCCCACCTCAAGGCCCCCGGGATGGGCAGTCCCCCGGCGGTTCACTCCCCTGACATTGACGTCGTGTCCTTCCAGGCCAGCAGCCCAGGTGCCCCAGGCTGCCGGCTCCTCGCTCTGCCTGGGTTTCTGGCCTTCAGATGGGGTGGGTGCTGGGAGACAGACCAGACAGGGGAGTGAGGAGAGCCTCGCCTGGGCAGTGAGGGTGGGGTCGGGTATCAGCCCCTCTCCCTCAGTGCTGCCCTCCTCTGGGGGGGGGGGGGGGGGCAAGCAGAGAGCTACCCCAAAAGGGTGTGCCATCTCCCAGCAGGGCCCAGCATGGGCGGCCCTGCCCAGACACCCTTCCAGAGTCCCAGGGGCCTGGGGGACCGCTTGTTCCGTGGGGTTCTGAAACAGAAGCAGAACCATGCTAGCACCCGAGTGGGGCCCGAGGAAGCCTGGGTTGTGGCTGGACCTGCTCCGCCCGGAGCCCCCGGCCTCCGTCAGCCGGGCGACTGGTTCACGCTCAGAAGCACTGGCGTGCCCCTGTCAAGTCCAGAAGCCTCTCCTGTTCCCCTAGCCAGGACCGACTGCCCCTCAAGAGTCCCCAGGGGCAGAGGGAGGCCGCTGAGCCCCAAGCTGGCGGAACGTGGGCGTCTCGGGTAGGGAGCACCACCTCCCTTTATACCTGGCGAGGCCCCCAGAACCCACCAATCTCACTGGAGACTAAGGGGCAGAGCCCCACGGCGGGGCCTTGGCAAACCCCGCTGCCAGCGAGGGTCTCTGGTCCCCGCCTCTCAGGCAGGGCGGGGGGAGGGCCTGGCCTTCCTTCCCCGCAGCCCCCGCAGTCCCCTCAGGACGGTGGGGTCGAGGAGGGAGGAGGAAGCAGGACGCAGGGCCAGAGGCCCGCAAAGGGACCCTCGCTCGGCCAGGAGCTGCTCTCGGCCCCTCCCCCACACCAGACCCAGATGGAACCCCCTGCCGCTGAGTGGGAGATGGTCCCGCCTCCGGGGAACCCTCGCCTGCGTCACAAAGGAGGCCCGGAAGCCTCAGTGGAACCCCACCTGAAGCCACTGCTCTCCGGCCTTGGGAGCCCTCCCACCTGGCCCCAGCTCACGGGAGCTCTAGGCCAGCCCGACCCAGCCTTCTGAGACCTGCCCGTGGGACGCGGCCGCCCCCGAGTGACCTGAAGGTGAGCCGAGGGAGGGGGCCTGCCTGCCAGGGCCGGCTTTCCTGGGCAGCACGGAGGGAGCACCCTAGCAGCGCCCAGCCCGTCTCCCAGGGGCCGGGCAGAGCATTCTGTGAGCACGCCCACACCGTTCCCCTCCGACGAGCCCCATTTCCTTGGCTGGCCACCATAGCCCGGAGAGGCCTGCTCCGATTCCCTAGCACTTGGCTTTGCCCTTAGCCCTCAATATGAAAGTGTGTGCGCGCTTTTCTGCCAAACCGAGTTCCTGGAAGCGAGCGGCACAGAAGGAGAGAACGCATTCACTAGTTCTGATCTAAGACAAAAGCCATTGGAGAGGCCAGAGCCACAGACCCTAGGCCAAGGCTCGGACCCGTCCAGCCGAACCCTTTCCTTCGTTCATCGTTCAGCAGACGTTGGTTGATGCCTCTGGGGTCGTGGGTACCAGAGTGGGTGCTGGGGACCCAGGCAGACGGAGCCCCGCGCCCCCATGGTGCCGACATTTCCCATGGGGAGGGGGACCATGGAAACAGAAGTCAGGGGCATCGAGCCTGAATCGCACATCTGGTGGCAAAACAGAAATCAGGTCCGGGGGTCAGGCTGGTGAAGACGGACCCAGGGAAGGCTCCACTGGGAAGATGGCCTTGAGCAGGGGCTTTTGGGGAGTGAGGGGGCGGGGGGAGGGTCTGGGGGAAGGGCAAAGCCTCCGAGGAGGGGGTCTGCCGGGCGCTGAGGGCGGAGGACCACATGGGGTGCGCAGAGAGGTGACGGGCAGGGGCTGCGGAGGGTGCTGAGATCAGAGCAGGCCTGGCTTCTCTCCATTCGGGTCATGGAGCGGGCGAGGCCCGGGGAGAGTAAGACCCGCCTAGGGCCACCCACCCACCCCCGCCCCCGCCCAGAGCGGGAGACAGAACTCAGGCAGACCCCTGGGCATTGGCAGGTAGGGACACCTGCGCCAGCCCCAGCGTGTCTCAGCAGCCGCGCTTGCCTGCCCACGGGCCCGACTGGCATGGTCTTCCTCAGGCTTTTCCCGAACTCGCGGCCCTGCCTGGTGCAGCGTGGGCGCTGGTGCGGGGCTCGGCTGTGTCACGGTGTTTGAGGACCGGGAGTCTGACGCACAGGCCAGCGGCCAGCTGTTCCCAGCTGCACAGCCGTCCCAGGGGCAGGGCTGTGCGCACCACCAAAGAGGGGCGTGTGCACGCCCACTTGCGAAAGGGAGCGCAGACCTCAGAGCCCTCGGGGTCTGCTGTCTCCGCCTGTCCCCAGGCAGCGCGCCCTCTCCTGTCTGCCACAGCCCTGACGGTCCTCCACCGCTGCCCACCCCTGGAGTGGCGGGGGCAGGGGAGGGTGGGGAAGGGGGACACAGGGATGCACGCCGGCCAGGTGGCTGCTGGGGCTGGCCTTCATGGTCACTGCCTGCGTGGGCGCCCGTCCTTCTGGTCTCCCCAGGGTCCACTCCTGGGCTCCTGGTGGGAAAGGTGGGCAGGAAGCCCAGTGGCCCATGCCACCTCCCAGAGGGTTTTCAGGGCCCCTAGCTCCAGGACCCCCTCCCCAGCCCCGGAGAACTAGGGCCCCAGGCCGGCTCCGCTGCCCTAGCCCCTTGGCAAGCATGGGGAGCTGGGCCTGCTGGGTCCCTAGTGCCCACCCCCAGCTGTGAGCAGAGTGGTCCCTGGACGACCCCTGCTAGAGAGCGGGCTTGGAGAAGCCGACCTTGGGGAGAGGTTGCCACCATGGCCCGCGGGCCGCACCGCCCCCGCCCCCCCCACCGGCGCCTCAGGCCCTCAGAGACTCTGGCCTGGGGAGACCGGCTAGCGAGACACAGGCCGAGAGCCGGCTGTGGACCGGGCAGTGGGGACAGGAGCCCGGTGTCCTGAAGGGACCGGCACCGGCCTCCCAGCCTCGGGCAGGGCCCCAGGGGCTCCACGCGCACGGCTCTCCACCCTGGCCGGACACACAGCCCTTGCCCTTGGCCTTGGACTTTCTCAGCTGTGCACTCCCCCCCCGCCCCCCCACGTCTAGAGACTTGGCGATGGGGAAGCCCGAGAGCCCGGTAGGGATGGTGGAGATTGCCGGCTGGTCGGGACAGAAGCGCCCGGGCCTCCTGGAGGGGGTGCTGCTGCTGCTGCTGCTGCTGCTGAGTGTCGCCCTGGTGGCCCTGGGCCTCCTCTACGCCGCCCGCGGCGGAGGTGAGTGAAGGTGCCCCCCACCCACCCACCCCGATGCGCCCGTCTTGTCGACGGGGCAGGCGGGGGCCCAGGGTCCGCACCTGGCACTAGCCTGCAGGGCGCCGGCGGCCCCTTCCAGAAGGCTCTGCCCAGGGCCGGCCGCCCCAGCCGGTTCCGCAGGCTCCGCGCAGCCCCCTCCCCTCCCGCACTGCGGTCCCGGCCGGCGGGTGGCGGGAGCCGCGCTCTTCCCCTGCGCTCACCTGTGTCTCACGGAGGCGGCTGCCTTCCTCCTTCTTCCCCTCCCTGCAGAAGTCGTGACCCCCAGACAGGCTCCCCTGGGTGCAAGACGGTGGGAGGGGTCAGACTGGGCTCCCGGGGGTGCAGCCGGGGCTGCTGTGCAAGGACACTCCTCTTCTGGTTCCCCCTCCGCGTGGATAGGGAGGGGCTGTCCCCGACTTGGGTGGGGGGCCTGGCGGGGGTGGGGCTTACGTGTCTGCACCTGGGCCGCACCCTGCTGCTCACAGGCGCCACCCTAGCCCGGATGTGGGTGCTGACCCCCCACCCCCACCCCCAGGGCAGCGGGCACGGGACTCCGGAGAGGGGCTCCCAGTAGGGCATCACGGCCTTTGTCACTAGAATGACACTGGCCTGGCCCTGGCCCCTTGCACCGCAGGGAACCAGCCATCCATTGCCAGACGAAGCTATTTCTGGGGACCAGAAGTGGGCGCAGCCTGTGGATGTGATGGGCGTCCCAGCCCAGCACTGCTCCCAGCCTGTCCAGGCGCCCGGAGGGCCCCTGCCAGCTGCTCTGGTCTCTGGCCCCTCTGGGACCCCCACCAGGGTAGGGGCACTGCCAGCTCCAGGGGCAGGGGGCAGGGGAGGAGCCTCTGGCTGCACAGAGAGCCCTGGGGAGCCCAGACCTCGAGGAGCCTAGTTCGGGGCTCGCTGGGCTGGAAACACCTGATTCAGAGGCTTCCGGAGGACAGGACTGTCCCCCCCCCCCCCCCCCGGCCCCGACCCCCCAGCTGATCTCGGCCTCAGGCCCTTTGAGTCCGCGGAAGAATTTACATGCAGTGTTACTGTGTATTTCTCAGTGCTTTCTCATTTCCACGATGATTTTTTTCCTGGATTCCTGAGTTATTTCGAAATTTTTTTTTTTCTTTTTAATTTCCAGACGCACGGAGATTTGACCAGTTACCTTTTCTCGTTGGCTTCTCGCTTAACTGCATTGTGGTCAGAAACCAGGGTTTACGCGGTGCTGATTCTTGGGTGTTTGCTGAGGCTCGCTTTGGGACTGCCACGTGGGCAGTTTTGCAAACAATCCACGCGTGTTCGTGGAAGACACCCAATCACTAACTGTTAGATGAAATTGGAGATACAGATATATCCACACCAATCGAATCTTCTATATATTTGGGTTTTTTTTTTTTTCAATTTTCTTGTGTGAGAACCACCAGTTTTCCTCGTATTCATGCCAAATATTAATTTGCCTATTTTAAGGCTACGTTATCATGTGAAGACAAGGTTAGAAATGGTGTCTTCACACAGCCGATCATTGCACAGTGACACCTTCTATCTTAATATCTTTTGCCTAAAGTTCTGTTCTGCACGATGTGAATATAACCACTCGGCCCGTTTTCTTCCATTCTTTCTCTGTCAGACCTCTTGTGTCTTTCGCCTTCGATGTGTCTCTTGCAACCGTACGAATCTGGATTGGATTGGGGACTTTGTCTCTTACCGGAGAATTCAGTCTTACTGGCCTTCGTTATGGCTGCCGTCCGCCTTCTTTTGGGTGGCTCTGGTATTTTTTCCTCCTCTATTTTCCCTCAGCTAGCTTGCAGGTTTTCGATCACTGTCCATTTAGGGGTTCTCGTTGATTTTTTGTTTGAACAGTTGTTTTAAAAGTTATGGATGGGGCGCCTGGGTGGCTCCGTCGGTTGAGCGTCCGACTTCAGCTCAGGTCACGATCTCGCAGTCCGTGAGTTCGAGCCCCATGTCGGGCTCTGGGCTGATGGCTCAGAGCTTGGAGCCTGCTTCTGGTTCTGTGTCTCCCTCTCTCTCTGCCCCTCCCCCGTTCATGCTCTGTCCCTCTCTGTCTCAAAAATAAATAAACGTTAAAAAAAAAAAGTTATGGACAAGTGCTTTTCGGGAAATCGCACGCGTTTTTATAGAAATTACAGTAGGAGATGAAGCCCCATGTCCGCGGTCCTGCCCCTCCTGGAATCCTGCTCCTACAAAGCAGCCACGTTCACTTTCCAGCACGGAAGTCAGCAAACTCTGGCCCGGGTTTTGTAAAGAAAGTTTTATTGGAACACAGCTGGGCCCACTCATTTATGTATTGTCTGTGGATGTTTTCCTGCTACAAGAGCTAAGTTGAACTGGTCAGACAGAGTCTGTGTGTGGCCCACAAAGCCTAAAATATTTATTGCCCGGCCCCTGACAGGAAACTATTGCTAACCCTTGGACTGGGGTGGCTTTCCGTATCTAAACCTTGACTTTGAACCTCTTTTACTGTCAGTGTTGGGTCGTGAGGAGGCATTATAAGGTTGTGGTTAATGCCCAGGCATGGCTAGGCGTGCCGCCCCCCCCCCCCACCTGATCCTACTGCGTGACCTTGGCAGGTTTCTTCCGTGCCTCTGTGCCTCAGTTTCTCCGTCTGTGAAATGGAACATAACATAGTACACACACAAGAGGCTTACTTGAGGGCCCATGATTTAATGCATCAGTAACACTTAGAAAAATGCCTACGTCTGTCATGGTGTTCGTGAGCAGATTTAATGGCAAAATAGCCGATTTGTCATTTACCCACTACCAGTATGGTTATCGACGTGCCGAAGGGAAGGCAGATTCAGCTCCCTACACAACCCAGACCCTGCCCTCGCAATACAGACGTGTCCGTGCTTTGTGGTAAAGACTGAGGGTCATACACAGCTGAGCTATGAAGAAAAGTTGGGTCGCGTCTCCTCTCTTTGCCGTTATCTGGTTTCCTTGTCATGAATATGTACCTCGTTCCAGAGGCTTCCTTTTTTTCGGTCACATTATTTCATTACCAGCCCGTCTGCCCCTCAGATGTCACCCTCTTGGTCCTAAGATAGATTTTCGTGGGTTGCGGGATGGGGCTTGAGTACCCAGTACTGATGGTTCCCCAACAGTGAATCACTTTGGTGTGAGTCCCTTCAAAATGACATTTCTAGGGGCGCCTGGGTGGCTCAGTTGGTTGGGCGTCCAACTTTGGCTCAGGTCGTGATCTCACGGTTCATGGGTTCGAGCCCCGCGTCGGGCTCTGTGCTGACGGCTCGGAGCCTGGAGCCTGTTTCTGATTCTGTGTCTCCCTCTCTCTTGGCCCCTCCCCTGCTCATGCTCTGTCTCTCTCAAAATTAAATAAACATTTTTTTAAAAAATGACATTTCTGGGGCGCCTGGGTGGCGCAGTCGGTTAAGCGTCCGACTTCAGCCAGGTCACGATCTCGCGGTCCGTGAGTTCGAGCCCCTCGTCGGGCTCTGGGCTGACGGCTCGGAGCCTGGAGCCTGTTTCCGATGCTGTGTCTCCCTCTCTCTCTGCCCCTCCCCCGTTCATGCTCTGTCTCTCTCTGTCCCAAAAATAAATAAACGTTGAAAAAAAAAATGACATTTCTAAATCTGCAAGTTCTGTTCCCAACCTCTCTGATCTTTCCTCCAAAGAATTTTTCAATGCAGCTCAAGGAGCTACACCTGCGGTCTCCTGCACGAAAAGGTCCTTCGGATGGTTTGTAAACTGGGACGCAGCTGGCTCACTCCACCTGGCCTCAGGTTCCGCTCCTCCAACAAGAGGCCAGATCGCTGGGGTCCCGTTCATGTCGAGGAAAGCCAAAGAATCCGTCATTCTGCGTTCCACGTATCAATTATTAGGTGGTTATGAGGCGTGGTAATACGGTTTGAGCCTACACAGATATACGGTATACAGTTATCTTTCCAGAGTCCCACAGATCCCGGGTCTGGGGGAGCCTTGCCAGGCTCGCTTACTTGTTTTTGTTGTAAGAAGAAAAGCCATTCCGGAGTTCTCTGTTCTTTTTTGTTTCCGGCTTGACTCATTTTCCTCCTTCCTGGAGACCCTCCGTCAGGATTCATCCTAGGCGGTTGTGCTGGAAATGGACTTCCTCAGCTTCTGCTTCTCTGAAAAAGCCTTTCTTTCCTCTGCGCGTTGCAAGATTTTTATCTCTGAGTAGAGAATCCTCGGTTGACGGTTTGGTTTTTCCCTCAGTCACTCCGCTGCCTTCTGGCTCAGACGGCTGCCGCGGGAAAGGCCGCCATGACTCCCGTCTCTGTTGTTTCCATCTGTAATGTTTCTCCTCTTTCTGTTGCCCTCGAGATTCTTCTCTCCGACCTCGGCTGCGGTGTGGCCGGGGGAAGCGCGGGCGCGGTTCGGTATTTTAGGATTCGTGCCGCGTGTGTTCTTTGGAATCTGGGGTTTTACTTTCTTCGACTCATCTTGGGAAACTCTCAGCCATTATCTTTTCAAATATTTCTTCTGACCCCTTTCTCTCTCTCTCTCTCTCTCTCTCTCTCTCTTCTTCTTCTCTTGACGGTTTGATGCTGTCCCGCAATATTCGGATGGCCTGTTCAGTGTTTCTCACCCTTTTAGTCTTTGGGCTGCGGATTAAAGAATCTGACCCAAATTAGTCTCCACGTTCGCTGTGTCTTTCCTCAGCTGGATCCAGCATGCTGGGCAGCCAGTCAGGAAAATCCCCCACCTGTAATAATACGCTTTTTATTTCTGATACTTCCACACGACTCCTTTTTATAGTTTCTACCTCTTTGCTGAAATGTCATATCTGTGCAAGCATGCCATCCTCCTTTTTCATTAAATCCTTTAACGTATCACCCATAGTTGTGTTAAAGTTCAGCTCTGATGGTGCCAGCATTTGGGCACTCTCTGAATCTACTCTTTTTTTTTTTTTTTTTTAATTTTTTTTTTTTTTTAATGTTTATTTACTATTGAAAGAGAGTCAGAGCATGAGCAGGGGAGGGGCAGAGAGAGGGAGG